AGACGGGTGTGGGGCCTTTAGAGCTGCTGACGCGAACTCTCTACAAGCCGGCAGGGGGTCTCAGTGACCGGCAAGGGGCCCTTAGGCCGACAGAAGAAGTCCTGTGGGGTCAGTACCATGCCGGTAGAGACCGGCATGGTACTGTCAGACACCGGTGGGGCCCTCAGAGGGACCGGTGTGGGGCCCTCAAAAGTCACCAGTGGATGGCCTTTAGATGCGCTGGTGTTGGTTGGGTTTTCGGAGCCGCCGATATAGGGCTTTTAGGCACTGGTGTAGGCACTCAGAGTTGGGGGTGTGAAACCCTCAGCGACACCGATGTGGCTGTGGGCCCTCATAGGCGCCAATGAGGGTCCCACAGTTGCCGTTATGGAGCCCTCAGAAAAATAAATGCGGGACCATCACAGGCGGGAAATGCCCCTAGAAGTGGCCCCTCATAGGTCGGTAAGAACTCTCAAGAGGCCAGAAACGGGCCTTTGGAGACCACCGAGGGGCCCTTAAAAGCCATAAGAGGCCCTCAGAAGCCGGCGTGGGGCACTTATGGAGATCTTGGTGTGGCTATTTGGGGCCATGAGGTGCTCTAACGAGCCCCATGGGGCCCTTCTAAGTCGAAATATGGCAATCGTTAGCCCTCAGTGGTCTAATGGCGCCGAAGGCCCCTCGGACCCGAGGCTCCCTTTGAACCCGATGGGGGGGAGGGGTACGTGACCCCTTAGACCCCTAGCTACGCCATTGTTTCATATGCATCATGTCAGGTATTTTAGGCTCGCCCCCCCAACTTGAAAATCGTTCCCGGGCCCCTGTGGAAAATATAATCTATTTAACGAACGTTTAGCCATAGGGCATATCAACAAAGTACGATAACATAAATGAAGCAAAGAATCTTGCAAGAGCACTGGGAAAATTCACGTTTAATCACTAGGAATATTATACCTTCTTCTTGTTCTTATGTCGTGGCAAATCATTCAAGTATTATGTTCCTTGGATATCTGATTGTTGTGCCATTCTGAGTTGATATTTTCAGACGTGATTCTTTTTGAAGTAAGGTATTTTGATGCATTTTCTTCTATAAATTTCCTTTAAGGCTTTATCCACAGCAGTAGCGTAATCACTGTTAGGAAAATATGGACATAACAATTGCATAAAAGTGTCACCAAAACCTGTCGAAACTAACCTAGCTATGCGGCATGTAGGAAAAATCTTACTGACCTCAGCCGTACGAAATTATTTGGAAACTCGGCTTGCAAAATTTGACTCCGGCCCTCGTGCTTCGCACTCGGGCCTACGTCAATTTTGCAAACCTCGTTTCCAAATAATTTCGTCGGCCCGGTCAGTAATATATAAGGACACACCCAACCAGCATAGTAGGGCCCGAGTCGTTTAGCGTGTCGATCGAAAAAGTTTGTAAAGATGTACCAAACCTCAAAATAGCCGAATCAATCGAAATCAGAAACCAGCGACCCCACCTCAACACACAAACCTCATCATGGCCTCTCCTCAATCCCCCGTCATACACACCCCCAGTGGCTCCGGTAGCTCCAGTGTAGCATGCAATATTGTAGAATACCTATTGTTTAACATTGTCATATGTCATGTGTTTGTGTATGTATGAGTAACAATAGACAACTATATATTAGGTGTATTATGTATATTGTGTATACATATTATGTATGTATCTATTATGCATATTGTATATTGTATGTGCATATGTATGTATCCATCTATTATGTAAAGTATGTATCCATCCATGTATCCTACTATTATGTAAAGTATGTATATTGTAAACGTATATGTATTTTTGGCATTATGTATATTTGAAAGCATTACCATGTATAATGTGCAAATGTTGACACGCACTTGAATGATTGTACGTACTGATCGACCTTATCCAACGAGAACCATATCAAAAGATGCACGTTTTGTATTCCGTTTGAATCGGCTTTGTTTCGCTGCTTAATTGCTATTCTTATTCTGATGACGGTGCAATATCGAAATATATCAATTTAGTTTTAATTATATCAATTTGCAACATATAACATGAGCATAAGGTTATTCACTCTATTTACATTATTAATCATGCTCAGAAATACCATAGCTTACCTCCAAGAAGTTGAACTTCATTCGATGCGTCTTGACGAGAGGAACACGATGCCGGTAAAAGTAAGCTCGTACAAGGCTTGGGTCAAAAGTTATTGCAGAAAAACTGTTTTAGAAAAAATCGGCTATTTTTGCAGTTTTTGCCCCCTGCAGGCAAAACCGTTGACGTTAGGTCAAATCTGAGAGAATTACTCAGAAAGGGCGTTAATAGGGCTATCGAATACGCTTTTCCGCGGCGCTGTAGCTCTATTGGTTCCCGAGTTATGCGTTGGCTTCTTGGAAATTTTCGACATTCGACCTGGAAATCGGCGAAATTTTGCCTTCAATGACCTCTGGTGACCTGACCTTTGACCTGACCAAAAAATTGACCGAAGTGATTTCGTCATTATTTTTGACGCTCTTTCGAACGCCGCCTTCCGCGTATCGCTACGTGGCCCAGGAGCCGAGTTACAAGGGGGGGGGGGTGTTCAAACACCCCCCCCCCCCAGCAGGGCGTGGAAATTAGAGTTGCAAAGTTTCCCTACCGCATTACCGGCATGCCGGTAATTTTTCACTACCGCAGGTTTTTTGTGGTATCTGGCATGTCTTGCCGGTAGCATGCCGGTATTTTTGGTTTTGCACAAACAAATTATTAGTATATGATTCAAACTTTGGACACTAAGAGGAAAATGTGGCATCTCTTGTAGGGGTAAACTGGAATCAACAATGCAGGTTTTTTAGTATGCCGGTAATTTGGTGGTGTTTTTGCTTTGGGCGTGGTAGCATGCCGGTATCCCCCAAAAAAATTGTGGGGCGGGGCGGTGCCGGTAGCAGCCTTTGGGGAAAACTTTGCAACTCTAGTGGAAATCCAGGACCCCCAGCAGGGCGCGGGTTAAGCAGCTGGCAATCAACATAATATCGTGACTGTCGCGAAAGCATGACCCTCTGACATTGGCAGAGCAACTGGAGGCGCAGAGCAGCTACGCCACCCGCCAGCCTGGCCTAGTCCGGTAACTCGGTCAGTCCGGTCACTCAGTCCCACCGCGACATATCCGGGCTCAGTAATGTAGCGACACTACCGAGCCGGACACAGACGAGTACCAGGCACACCAGGGGCCGTATTCACGTCGACTTCGTAAGTCGATTTTCTTTCGTAAGTATAATTTGGTATTCACGTCGACACTTCGTAAGTTTTTATCGATGGAGTTCACGTGATTAAAAAAATTTACTTAAGAAGTAGGTCAAACTTAAGAAAATTCTTACGAAAAAGATCGACGTGAATACGGCCCCAGCAGTCACAGCACTCCACCAGAGATACTAACAGACGCGGTACGGACCAGCCCCGCTCTGTATATTAGTCCATTTGTCTGGACTCTTATCTAAAGCACTACACTGGTCGCAGCGCAGATATGATGCTGTCTCGGACCGGCAGATTATATGACTGACTGGACGATCTGCAGCTTTGTTAGAGTCAAGGAACTACTATCAGTGGTAGTCGGATCGAGCAACGCCACTGACGCCGACGGGAAAATCAGGGTTCATCAAAACACCGAAACAAATCAAGACGTAGAAAAACAGAGGCTACAGACTCAGCGAACATCAAAGTTTTCACGCTTGTAACAAAGACACGAACAAGAATAGACTTTGGGGAGATCTTTTCAGACCTCGATGTTCACCGTCTGAGAGCATTATGTAGGGGCGTCGGGATTGGTTTCGGTGGGCCTAGTAATCTCAAAATGGGTATATTGGAAAGGTCGGCAGCGATCATTATCGATCGAATTGCCCCAGTTCCGAAGACCAGGAACGGGAAGGAACTGCGGAGGAAAGTGATTACAAGGACCAGAGCCGACAGCTGGGCATTTACCGAACAGACAATCGCAGCCGATCTTTACTGTTGGTAAAACTACGGAAACGATAACCTTTCTTATTCCGCAGAGCACTCCGTTCCAGGCTTCCATAGTAGGATGTCTGCCGACGGCAGAGCCACCAATCCAGAAAGGAAGTACTTGTAGTTCCGATCATCGCCACCAGGTGACGCGCCGGTTGCGAAAGTCGTGTCTGCACATTCTGAAGGTGGCGCCACGAGCATGGCTACTTTGGCAAGGAACGGCCGACAGCAGAATCGCAGGGCTCGCCAAGAAACGATCGTTTTCCGTCGAACCATGACCGCTGTCACACGCTAGTTAATTGATGGATGGCACCTCAGCTGACCTAGTTTCATGAGCGAGGAGTCCCCGACCATAGCGTAGACCCAGTCAAACTAGGTGATACTTCTCCTCACCCAGCCAGGCCAAGCGTACCATGCAGCCAGAATATCAGGTTCGCAGGCAATAACATGCCATATTAGACCGTGCATAGTCAAATAACCACGTTCTATGTGATCTCCTCTCATACAGGTAGCATCCAACGCATACTTTGAATGGTGACACGACTTCAAACGACCTGTAATACCGCGGCACCGCCCTTTCAACCCAGATAGATTGCACTTGGCGGCGGCCAAGGTTGGGAGAGCCATTAACACGGCGGGTGCGTGTCAATGGAGCCGCTGCTCCCAGGGACGCGCTACCCCGCTGTCTATATGGAGAGACATACTCCAAGGGGCAGCCCTTTGTCTGTCCAGGATACAGAGCTAGGCCTTATGGTAGATACGAGGAGCTTCATCCCTGGGTACAGAAAGGCATGCCCCGTGTCTGTCCACGGTACAGAAAAGCCGTCTCCCCCAGAGGTACAGAGTTCGGCGTTATAAGTATCGGAGAGATGCATTTTGGTCACGGTGAGTTGTGTCCTAGTCTGTCCAGCCAGTCCGCGTCTTCACGTCCGAAAGCCTGTTCCGTGGCAGAACACTGTGCATTAGAGCACAGAATAGTGTATCCGGTCCGTCCGTGTACGGGACAGTGTCACACAGATACGGGTCGCGATGTACTCACCAGGCTGGCCGAAAGAGACGGCGCCGACCGGCCCAGGTTGGAGCGGCGCATCCGCAGCAGGTTCGACCCCTCTCCTGTGGGCCAGAGATGAGTGTCAGGACCATAATGGTGGTGAAGGTAGTGATGGAGGGATTGGTGGAGGTGCTGAAATGGGTGACGCTGAAAGTGAATCAGGACACACAGAATACCGCGGTTAGTGGCACCATGAGACGGGTCTTTGACTGCAGCGGTGAGGTCTGCCGTTGGAGGCCTCTGCTATAGGTGCAGATGGGTCATTGGTGCGGTACAATTGACATACCAGTGCACAGGGTACAGTCGATCGAGCGGCCCCCGCAGCCACAGCCCACACAAAGAACATGACATCACCGCCTGCAGGCATACCGATACTCTCCCGCTGTGCAGCCTGGACAGACTAACTAGCCGCGACAGTGACGGTGACAGCCGAGCTCTCCAAGGCCGACTGCAGGTGACAGGTCGGTAGGGACGCGACCTTCTGCAACTGACAGCCCAGTGACATCTCCTTTTGACCGTATGAACTAATTCCACAGACCACTACCACCATCTCCCAATGCCGTTGCCTGTCTACCACTGACTAGTGGTGTTAATCGGAACTTGAATCTTCGGAATTCCGATTTTGTCCAAGGTCCAATTCGGAATTCGGTTGGACAATGACAGCAGGCTTTGGGCAACTTTGGACAATCGCTTGCTACCCCTCAACATTTGTATAAAGTAATCGTGTTTTACATTGATTGGCTATTAAAAAGCTCAGCTTTCGATATGGTTATTATTTATTATTATTATTCATATTCCCACTAACCACCATTCGGTGGGCATTACAGAGGGAAACACATTGACACACATAAACCATATACATACAATACAGGCAGCGCAGTGCCCTGTCATTGATAAGCACGTATAACGAAATCAAAATGCAGAACAAAAGCGATTTTCTATAACAGAAAGTTTGATGAGACAGCGAACTCGAAGCCTCATAAGTAATCGGCAATCATTACAACGAACAATGTGACATCACCGGAACAACACCACATACATATGCATCATTTTACCGCATGATTTTCCAAAATATATTTCACAAAATCAGCTTTCGAATAGTTTCGGACATGAATGGGCAAGCTATTCCATAGTTTTGCACCACTGTAAGAGAAGGACGCTTTCTTCATTTCAGTCCTAGGTATAACTAGGTCAAGGTTGCCTGATTGCCTTGTTTGTCGGTCTGACTGTCTCTCTTTAAAGAGAGACACAATTAGTGGCGGCATACATTCAGGGATAAGTAGACATTGACGAACTGTTTTTAATACCGCGATTTTATGCTGTAAGGCAAGATCTCCACGCCAAGCCAGTCTGTGAGCTTCGCGACCTGCGATACGCTGTGCAAATTTAACTATTTTTCCTATTCTCTTCCCTTGTGTCACATTGCAATTTCCCCAGAGAGCCATGCAAAAGCGAATATGAGGAAGAACAAGGGCATTGACTAGGAGGACAATTACCTTTAAGGGCATCACGCGACGAAGCTGGCCCAATCGAATTAGCATACCAGTACACTTTCGAATGACACCGTCAATGTGACTGCTCCACGTAAGACAACTATCCAGCGTTACACCTAGACTAGTTAGTGATGGCTGTACGGGTACTGCAGTATTAAAAATATTTAGACTCCTAACATTGACATTTTTCATGGTGACTTTGGAACCAAACACAACAACTTGCGTTTTGAGAACATTAAGTGCAAGTAGATTTCGTGAGAACCACTCAGAAAGTTTCTGAAGAGCAACATGAAGTCGAGTTATGACATTGCCTATATCACGAGGCGAACCAGAGACCAACACTTGGGTGTCATCTGCATACTGGATAATTGTACATAAGCCATGAGCAACTGCAGGTAAATCATTCACGAATAGATTGAAAAGCGTTGGACCCAGAACACTTCCCTGTGGCACACCGGTAGATACTTGACCTATTGCGTCGTCGCAACCCCGCACGTACTGAGATCTACCTGACAGGTAGCTTTCAAACCAAGGATGGTCAATGCCATATTGGGAAAGTTTACTCAGCAAGATGTTGTGACTGACGGAATCAAATGCCTTGCTTAGGTCGAGAGAAACTAGAATGCATACGTCTCCATTATCCACTGATGACCTTATGGACTCTGTTAAAAGTATAAGAGCATGTTCGACGGAATGTTGTGCACGAAAGCCAAACTGTTCGTCTGCCAATACGTGGCAATCGTCCAAGTACTGATTGAGCTGAATGGAGACGAGTCTTTCAAGAATTTTTGACCCCACGCTTAGCAAAGAGATTGGCCTATAGTTGGATGCAGTCTTGGTATCTCCCTTTCCTTTATAGATGGGGACAACCTCCGCGAGTTTCCAGGATGATGGAACGGTACCACTGGCTATGGAGGCGTTAATAACATGCAATAATGGTGTAGATAGTCGACCACAAAATGATTTAAAGAAGGAAGGAGGAATCCCATCAGGCCCCGATGAAGTTCGTACTTTTAATGAACGTATGACAAACCTAAGCTCAGCATGTGTTGCTGGACGCAATTCAAACTTCGTTGAAAGAACTCTAGAGGGAGCAAACCATGCGCCACTCGACCCAGAGGTAACACTAACACCAGCTTTAGCATTAGTACCGGCGGAGCAAAAAAACTCATTAAATAGGCGCGCCACACTTCTGTCAAGGGGGTGGGCAGTTTTTGATTTCCCTAGTGTAAGGTTAATAAGATTCCATGTGTCTTTACTGGATTGATGTGTTCCGATGCTCGATTCAAACTTGGAACGCCGTTCGAATGAAATAGCGCTTCGCACTTGGCGGCGCATACTTTTATAGAGTGCTGCGTCAATCGTAGCACCAGAGCGGCGAGCTATGCGCATTTGAGCAGTGGTATCACGTATGAGTTTTCTGGTGGTTCTCGATACGCCGAAACCACTTTTATGCTTGATTTTGGTAGTGACAAGAGGGGCATGATTATCTAGGATAGGAACCACAGCGTTTTTCCAACCCTGCCATGCCTCATCTGGGTCTTTAGCACTAAATACAGGAGACCAGCAGACTGTACGCAGATCGTTCAAAAACGCATTGGAATCAACATCCTGCCATCTGCGATAGCTAATTAGTTTACGCGGCCGTCTGGATCTTATGACATTCACTCGAACAATAACCAAGTTATGGTCAGAGACAATGCAATCCTCCGAAGAGCAATCTGTCACAAGGGAAGAGTCGCTTACCAGAACAATATCGATAAGGGTGGATGAGGTATTGGTAACACGGGTAGGGTGGCTCACGCATTGATGCATGCCGACATTGTTGATAAAATCCTCCAAGGAACGAACTTGATACAGATTCGGACACAGCAGATCACAATTCAAGTCTCCACATAAAGCCACTTGCCTGCCCTCTGATAACAACTTTTTCACTGATAATTCAAGGGCATCAAAATCGTTTTTGATGCCTTCATATATGGGAGGCCTATACGCACAACCCACAACCAAAGCACGATTACAGCCGCATTTCACATTAATCCAAATACATTCAAGACGGCTATTAGCAGGATTGGAAGGGCTGATAACCTTATTAAATTCTAGGTCACTACGGCAATATATGGCTACACCACCGCCCCTCTTTCCTCGACGGTCACGCCTGCTAGCCAAAGTTAGGCCAGGTATAGGAACATCAGGCTCGCCTCTTCTCAGCCAGGTTTCAGTGATACATAGAACGTCAATCTTGTAACGTTCAACATAATCTGCTACTATATCCACTGAAGGTGCTAAAGAACGCACATTTAAAGTTCCAATTACTAGACCATATTTCGATGAGCGAGCGTACTCAGAGTTCATGCCAGCATCATGGAATAAACGACTTTGAAGCTTCCTGGGAACAGAGACGTTACTCCACGGTTCTTTCAGCCTAAAAAATCCTCTACCTCACCTGCTAGCAATTGCCATACATTTCTGCACCCATCTCTGTTAAGGTTCAGTCTAGATTTATCTAAGCCACCATACATACATTCCCTCAATCGCGGACGGGTGTCCAAAAAACGAGCACCTTCACATTGACACAGCCTCTTTATCTCATCGTTGAGATCGCTTCGCTGTCTGGATATGTAGTCGTCTGGCAAAGGTAGGTCGTGCGGCACTGAGCATATCACAATGGACCTTACCTTTTTAAGCTGTTTAGCAACTCGTACGACCTCTGATATGCAGTCGACTGTGTAGTCCACACTTCGATGTGACAAGTCGTTTCCCCCAATGTGCAAGACGAGGTCCACGCTGAGCGCCCTGCAGCTGGCCACTGCACCACTTAGCGCCCCCAGGGCACTGCGTACGGACCCTCCACGGATGCTTTTAAATAAGGCCTCACCGCCCAAGAAGAACTCATCCCTGGCTGCTGCAGCGATTCGGCGTACATTCTGGCAGCCGAGCAAGACCGCCCCGACACTCGGAACTGGGCTCCTGCTGCGGCTACTACGTTTTCTGCGCGGGCTGACGCGCCTCCAAGCTCCAGAGTTGGTGTGGCGTGGCACTGCTGTAGTCGGAGCCGCTGTGGTCGAAGTCGCCGGCAGAGCTCCTGTGCTCGGCGTTCTGCTGGAGCCGGGAGTCGTATGCGACGCCGGCGTTACGTTGGAGTCGAGCGTAGGACAGGCGTACGGCGTTTCGCGAGGGCCAGTCGTTTGGAAATTCCCCGTCACACCAGAGTCAAGTGTAGCGCGGGCTTCAGGTGTCATTCTGGAGTCAGCTGTCGTGCATTTAGACGGTGTGGAGTGGTTGGGTACGACAATGGAGTACTGGGTTCCATCAGAAATCGATCTAGTCCGACTCAAATCATCCACTTTGCTGGAAAGATGATCAAGCTTCAGCTGGGTTATACGGATGGCTTCCATCAAGTCCATAAGCGTCACTCCCGAGAATGATGGTCCTGGAGTGCCTTCATCCGCGAAATCGGGGCCGGGGTTTCGCTCCACACCTCCTATCACCAGAAGAGTGAGGATCAAGGCCAAGCCAAGAGCCACTGAGTCTTGACCGGCACACCAAGCTGGCTTCAGTTTGCTGGC